GATAGTTTGCCAAAACACATCTGTGATGTGTAGCTGGCCGAATGTATAAAGCCTATTCAAGTGGTCGTTCCCTGGTTGATAAAGGTACGTGTAGTGCGTGAAGAAAAATTTAACGCCAAGATATTCCATTATCAGAGGGTTGTAGTTCCTGGACAAACAAATGGGTATGCTTGGTACAATCTAACATTTAGCACCGACATCTATGCATTCTTTCATGTATGTCATTTCCATCTAACTTTCGTGTATGTTTCATTACTTTGCATATCTGATTGTGAGCTGTTTCACCGTTTGAAACTATATATTCTATATCAATTCCACTGTTTGTTGTACATAATCAACATTTTCGGCCTTCTTAAGTTAGGGGGTCCAATCGTCGAGGTCGTTCTGTTAAAAAAGTTGCAAAATATTGTAGAAATAACAGAATGGAACAAGTGCCGTCTGCCTCTAAGCACGAGTATAAAGAGCCACAACCCGTCCGAGACACGATAATCAAAAAGTTGAACTCATTTAAGTTGTAGGATGGAAATGTCGTTCACAACATTCGGGACATATGCTTATTACTTAATCAACAATAAAAAAGAAAATGATACAACTACCGTTAGTGTTCTGAAAATGGCACAAGTGTCGTTACAGCACCAACGATGTTTTATTGTAACAAAAAAAAGTATAACTGCCGTTATGGCTTCATCGAGTCTTAGTTGTCACAAAATCCCTCATTCCAAACATTATAAATAGTTTGCTTTTCAAAATGACAAAAAGTAGTATATCGTAACATAACACCATCTTTTTTCAATATTACAAAAGCAGTACATCGTAACACTATAAAAGCCGTATATGTGCCTTCTTTTCCTTATCGTTCATGTCTCTTGTTGAGTCGTACACGATCTATACAAGTGATACAGTTATGCCTAGTTTTCAAATACCTACTACACTTACGAGACTTGCACATCTCGCCTGCTGATTGTTCCCTTTATTGGTAGACGTCCACTTCTTCTTCATGTCAATAATCATATCACATTTCTTAATCGAACATTATCGAGAATTTTTCAGCCCACCTCATTTGGCAGTGGATATATATATATAAATGAAGAGCAAAACCTGCAACAGTTATCTCCAACATCCCTTACTACAACAATTGTATGTGCACATGTAAATTGGTCCAGATCAAATTCCTTCCATGTGCATGTCCTTCTCTCCAAATGAACAATAAAACTTTCTATTTCATCACTCACTTTCATCTCATCTAGGCTAAGAGCTTTCACCTCGAAGCCATTTGACTCGTTATACCTATCATACATCTTCTCCTCCAAAGGCGGGGTGAGGTAGCTTGTACATTTTTCGGCATCAACACGTCTATCATGAAACCATCTTTGCATCTTTTCTCTGATATGCTCGATCAAAGCAAGTATAGGAAATTTTCAAGCACTTTTCAACAATGCGCTCAATGATTTAGCATTGTTTGTGGTCATACTATTGTATCCGATTCTATTGAAATGTGCTCTTGACCAATACTCTACACTAACATCATCCTCTAAGTACCCTCGAATTTTCTCGTTTAGATTGCATAATACTTGCATATTGATCTCAAATTTTTCTAAACTATATGCCTCTATTGTAGCTCTAAACAATGGCATAATATAAATGCGAAGAAATTTGCTCTTCAAGTTAGTTTGCAGATGCCATATACAATACCCATGATGTGCGTTAAGATAGATGTTTCTAAAACCATTTGATATGAATGGTGCACGATCAGATATAAAGACTAGCTCGTCCGTGTCACCGGTTATTTGCCTCAATTTTTGAAAGAACCAAGTACATGAACTATTGTTTTCTGAATCTACTATGTCCCCACGCAAGTGGATAAATTTGACGACTTGCATCTTGGCATGTGGCAACAAGTAATGTACTTCAATACTTAGATTTCAAAAACGTTCCATCCACACAAATTACCCTTCGGATTGAAGAGAGGAATTCACGTATGCAACGTGATAATACAATGGTAACTTTGCATAGCTATCATCAGGGCTACCTCGAACCTCTCTGTAAGCAAAATTCTTTGGCCTTGTATTCTTTGTGAAATTTTATAATTATGCCAAATTCTCGCCGAACGTCATTAATGATGTTTCTTGGTTTGTACACTATGTTGGTATTCTGATACTTTGGAGCTACATGCTTTCCAATTACCAAATAGGTAGCATGTCTATTATCCCTGCGATGAACACTCATGGAGCAAGTGTGAAGGTCAGAATATTTTCGTATTTGAAAAATCTCAGATTCAGCTATCATCGTTGCCCATAANCAGCTATCCTGGTTGCCCGTAAATGTCAGTTGCAACTTTCCCCAACACAAACTACTGTATACACATGCTTATTGGATTGCGTTACTTTGAATTCAAATTGGTACTTCACAGCAAAGAGTTGGATTTTTTATATCAAAACACTTTTAATTGGAAATAATTCATCTTCTTGTACATCCTCATTTTCCAAAATCCTAACTGATGATCTAATGGAATTGAACAAACAACTTCTATTAAAGTACCAATAATTTCCTCTTGAAAAATCAACATCGTTTTCATCTCTACAAGGAGATTTATCTTGAAAATCTTGTTTTTCAGAACTGCCTTGAACTAAGTTCAAGTTATCTCAATCCATATAGTTTCCTTCTACGTTATCATTCCCATAATCGCCATCATATTGCACAACTTTATTTCGATTTCTCACATCTCCCTTTTCTATTTAACCATTGGTTTATACTCCCCCATCTCTTTCCAACTCCATTGTACTATTACACTCATTTGCAACTTTGGTCGAAATAGTCATGCAAAGAGGATTTTTTTACAAATAGAAAGAAACCACTTCACTTTCATGTCACAATTAATCCTTTGTGGTAGAACTGAAAGTTTAGACATATCAGGGTTAAGAGAGATCGTCTCAATTTCATATAACTTTGAATTCACGTTAGCAAGTTTTTGTACTTTGTCGTACAACTCTATATACGAAATGCTAGTTGCAATATATAGAATATCCACATTTTCTTCAACATTCCCTACATAACTCCATTTCCATTTGCCTTCTTGATTCTTTTTAAACTTAACAAAATAGTATACATGTGTTCATATCATTTTTACAGAATCTATAGCTGCAAATAAAATAAAAAATTAAATAATTTACTCAAATATATATCAAAGTAATGTGAAAATAGTTATAATATTTAAAATATCAAAGTAACCACACTGTATTATCAAGAACGGACAGACCACAATAGATAATGTTTATATTGTCATTTTACACAGAAGATAACGACTGTAGTGTCGTTCTATGATATGTAAAATGGATGTAGTGCCGTTCTGTACTATAGATCGTCCAATAGTTGCGAACAGTATAGAAATGCACCAATTGTGAAAAAATAAGCTAAAATATCATTTCATATTATATTTAACAATAAAAGGACCAATGTCCATGAGATTTACAAAAATACCATTCTTTTTTTCTTCAAACATAATAGAGATTTCAATGTAGATAATACAGAAACCAAAATTCTAGTTCAAATGTTCAAAATGTTAGAGAAGATAAGTGAGGAATATAATGAATAACGAGATTTTAGGTAGCAAGCAGGGTTGAGATACGGAGAGCACGTTAATATGATTGGAGATGAATTGGGAAATTTGATTAGATTGAAAGGGTGTTTGGGTTCTTTCCATAATAGGGATATTTTAGACATTTGATAATGTTTATTTATTGTATTTTTTAAATTGAGGCCATTTCATCTATAAACATTGAGAAAATGCTATATTTTCAACTACAATGTTTGACTGGGTGTTTTAACAAAGAGTCCCATAATTAAATTCATCGGACGAAGACGTAAAACCTTAGAAATCACATGTACTAAACACAATACATAGGCATGTGACACATAGAAGTGCATGACCCTTGTAAATGGAAAGTCAATAATATTGAGCATTGTTTGACAATTATCTTTTTTTGTGAAAAATGGTGTTTTGAATGGTGATTTTTAAGAGAATGTGTGGTAAAAAAGTAAGGAAAAAATTTAGGTATATATGTAAAATATTTTATTATGTGAATGTATGGTTGAAAATGAGTATGTAGAAAAAAGAGTTTGAAATAATGGTTGTCAAATAGTGGCTGCAAAGAAAAGGAAAAATTGCAATGGATGTCCCAAACCTTTCATTTTGTCGCAAATTACATCCTAATATTTCATTTTTGCGGATGCTCCATCAGGTAGCCAATCATTATCGAGTAAGGAAGAACACCTTAAGGAGCTTATTATAATTTTGAAGAATTGAAAACATCTCTTTTCCGTTTCTATTTACGCAGTTCATATCTTACTTTCATGCACTCTTTAAAGGAATTCAATCTCTTCAATCTCAAAACACCACCTAAATAACTACGGCCAGAAAGTCAAATAGGTCGGGAAGAAACTGATTCTGTCCATAATACTGTTAGTCAACAATGTAATTACGATTTTGACCTAAATGGATAAATAAAATGAGGGGCAAAATTGCATAATAACAATTAAAATACTTTTTAAAAAAAGACCATTGTTCATCTTCC